TATATATATATATATATATATATATGCATGATTGTCTGCATTTCAAGTTTGCTGGCAGTGCAGCTGAGCAAGTGCAGTTGAGATCTTGGGTGTTTGATTGCAGGTGTGTGACCAGCATCGGACATGTTCTCAAACCATGCATGAGCAAGCAGAGCCATTGATGCACTTCGGTCTTGGCAGAATCACTCTTCTTTTCAATGGATTTTTTGCGCTTGTATCCAAAACAGAATAGCATTCAGTTAAGTACAAGATGTGAGTCAGCAAATCCACAGTGCTCTCTGTGTGTGCATGGTGCTGATGGGGGCCTGGAGCCCAGCATTGTTCAAAGTAGCTGTTGCTCTTGCTGGTCAATGTTAAAGCTTCTTGCAGCTTGTGCTTTCATGCCCGTGTCTTCTGCTGGCAGCTTCTGGCTTTTGTTTAGCTTTTCCGAGCTGTTCCTTTTTGTTTCTGGGTTCCCATGGAGCCGGGACCGATCGCGGAGACGGATGATGGTCCTTCGCAGAGGCTCCTGGCCATGCTGGTGAAGGATGTGATGAAGGCCAGTGCACTGGGAGTCTGTGTCATCAGAAGGGGCGGTATTCTTCCAAATGGTCATTGCTGTTCAGGAGTGGGATGAGATCCCATCCATGGCTTCCTTGGCCATGAATGATAAGTGTTTTGTTCAATGGCCGGCTGATGCGAAAGGGCAGAAACGCATCCCAACCGCGCTGGCTTGCAAATTGAATGAAGTGCCTTGGCACCTACCCTATTTCTTCGTTCAATGTAGAACCCCAGTTGTTCCGTACATAGGGATGCCTTTCCAAGGCAATGCTTGCTCCGATCGTGGGCCGCAACCTGCAGCATTACGCCCTGCTGTATGTGAATGTCTTGGAATCCATGATGTCTTCCTATCGTGTGCAGATCAAGGTGGGTCAGTAGCATGGTAATATACTTGGTGGTGGGAGTTCTGCATGTGCTTGCTTTTGACTGGGTTATCTCGCCTGCCATGCAGATGAGACACCTCAATGTCGCGAAGAAGGAGGTGCTTTGTTATTGTAGGACAGACGGAGACTATGATATTGGGGTAAAGGTTGGGGTTGAGCATTTGCCAGGTGAAGATCGATGCAGCATGCATCAATCCAGATGCTCATGGCATCAAGGCACTGGTGTGTTGCCATCGCCGATGCTCGTCATGGACTCATGTGTTGAGGATATATGAACATACATGTTTATGTAAATATACATATATTTACGAACAGGATACCACTTTCCCATGCATGTACATGAGTCCACGTCTTTTCTCTGCTCCCACTCTTGAATACAGATATGTGAACTACAATGTGTATACATATACATATGTATATATATATATATATATATATATATCAAAAGCATATAAATATGCATGTTATATATATATATGTGTGTGTCTACATATGTTGTTGATAAACAAATATCATATACATAAGTATGTCTATCGGTCGATGGATAGATATGCTTATCATCTTGTGGCCATATTACAGCTTGCATGTCACTGCACAGAAGTGTATGCCATTTATCATACGTGGGCAAAGTAATACATCGGCTGTGCACACACAGAGGGACAGGACTCGGAGTTTAAGGACTTGCTGATCGTTCTGATAATCAGCGAGATGTGGATGTGCAGAAGCTGACTGAGTCACAGCTGCATTCGGACATTTATGCACTGGACTTGCATCGTTTTCTCATGCATGCAGTTGTGGTGTGGGATAAATGGGTTTTTAAGGTGAGGCTTCGAGAAGTGGCACACAAGATGGAGGCCAACGAGTTGCCCTACGTCATCAAGATTTGCAGCGGTATGGATCCGGAATCGCTGGAGGTGCAGAACCGCACTCGGGCCATTTGGAAGAAAAGGAAATCTGCTGAGGCCTTTCCTGAGGAGCGCCATGAGTTGCCATTGGCGAATGCAGATGAAGGTGCAGTGGATCTGCCTGCGATTGCAGGTGCGGGAGCTCCGCCTGCTGAGCCTGAGCAGGAGATGCCTCCGCTGATGGATTCGCTGCATCGTGAAGTGGCAGATGAGGCAGTGGAATTTCCGCCTGTCCAAGATGCCCAAGAGTATGTGATGCCGGACACCTTCACCCAGCCAGATGATGAGCTTGAGTTGGATGGTGGATGTTTGGATTCCCCAGCGGCTTCGAGCAGTGACCCTGCCCCGGCGGCTTCGAGCAGTGACCCTGCCCCGGCTTCGCGCAGTGAGCAGCTGGAGACTGTCCATGAAAGGTTTGATCGCCTCTCACGGCTCTATGGCTATGGTGCAGCCTTGATGCTGTGTGGGGCTGTGCAAGAGGGTGCTCACTACGATCCCTATGTGGGCCAGTGGAAGACATTGGATGGTTTGGTGTGCCCTTATATGCCTGCGACAGGATCTTCCGCTGAGCATGAAGAGATGCCGGTGGTGCCCGAGATGCGGGTGATGCCAGAGCCGGTTGCAAGTGGTGGGCATGGCCTGGATGATCCCATCTTTGGGGACATCAGCGTTTCGTCAGGTTTGCCTGAGACTCCGAATGCCGCTGAAGCAGCTCACGATGCAGCAGAGGAGTCGCATGCAGGTCACGTGCATGTGCTTGGAATAGATTTTGGTGGAATACAGATGCATGCATTCAGACAGTTTGAGTCTTGCTGTGCTTCAACATGTGTTCGTGCAGACATGCTGTGTTGTGCAATTGTTCCCTCTCTCTCTCTCTCTCTCTCTCTCTAACTATCTCTTGCTCTGTCTCTCTCACTCTTTCTTTACCGGTATATGTAGTTACAGGTATGTATATATATATATATATATATCAGTTTCTGTATTTGTATAGACATATGTCATATATAACCTCGTTTGGGTATCTCTTGAAAATGCATATAAACTCTATACAGCATAGTGCATACATACATATGTAGCATTTCTATTACTGTTTGAATATTACTGTATATATGTATATATATGTCTACACAGCATACATACTTATTTATAAATGTATATATATATATGTATATATATATATATGCTGTCCATAAATGAACAAACCCGGAAGTGCATCGAGACCAGTTGGATTTGTTCATGTTGTCTATCTTGCATATATATATATATATGTATATATTATAGATATATGTGTCATCTTTCTTCAAAGTTTGTCATTACAGGCATATGTTTTGTGCTGATAGTTGCATGCTGCATTGGAGCACATACACACAACATCTTAGTCAGTAAATCTGCATACATGCATGACCCATGCATGTGCACATCGTATCCGTTGTCACTGGTTGCTCATCTTGAGGCCCAACATCTGTGGATGAGGTCAAGCAGTGCCTTCTCGCGAAGTTGCATGCGCAACGAGAGAGGACAGTGGGTTGAACATTGCAAGTCTATTGTGGTGTGTCATACTAGATGCAGGAATTTTGATTATATGGCTGCATAGGATCATGCTTGGATCCATGGTGGATAATGTGGACACCTGTCCGATGCTTCCTGCTGAAGCCGGTGCTCCATGGCCATCAATGTCATTGATTATTGAAATTTGGAAATTCGGTTGAGTGCTTCTGAATGCTGTGGCATAGCTGAGGAGAGTTTGGAGAGACAGAGGTTGCTCAATGGCTCCTCCCGCGAGGTGGCAACCCTGAACTTGCTGTGTAATTTTATGCTAGACCATCAAACACCTAATTTGCGAGTGCTGCTAGAGGCCTTCCCCAGCCAGATCACCATCGAGGACACACCGGAGCATGGCAAGCCGATCCTTGCCTTCAGCAAGCATCTTCATATATGCATGATGATGAAGCATGAAACTTAACTGAAATGTGCCATGCCTCTTGCAATACCATGCCTGCCTACTGGAGAGATTTGCAGAGTGGTTCGTCTTTCTTCCATATGTAACAGTTGCGCATACAAGTGCTCAAATCGCATTGCTATCATATGACTGTGTAGCAACAGTGGGTCCAGAATAAAAGGGACCAGTAGACAAGACCGATACGGAGTTAGAGGAGTGGGGAGAACTGTAGTGTAACATATACATATATAGATATGTGCATGGTCTGATCACACTTATATATGGGTGCTATTTCTGAGATGAGCATAAACTGGATCTTCAAAGCAACATCCTTGTGTGTGTACGCGGTTCTATATGTTGTGCATGTGTCCTAAGTTTGGTTCAGTGTCACACTGGGAAGTCAAATCAGGTTCAATGTGCCGATCGGAGTCTACATCGAATGATAGCTTGTGTATATATGGATATACACATATATATATATATATATATACATACATACACACACACATATATATATATATATAGATACATATTTGTATATATATCTATATATATATATATATGAATATTTATTCATTCGGAATAGTGTCATATAGATAACCTCACTAACTGTATTTGTTGTTTACGAGGGGCCGCTTTGTGGTTTATTGAGATATGCCTCGAGACTTCCCATGTGTGCTGCATGGTTGCTACATGCGAGGCTGAGTCTGTGCAGCATATGTGGCATTTCGCAAGATTGCCTTATGCTCACTCCATTTATCTCTCTATAGATATATATATATATATGGTTATATCGCCTTCTCTTTCTAGTGTAGAAAGATATGCAAATAAGTATCCAACCAGGTTATAAAGATGAGTCTGTTTCTCTATAATAGAAGTATATGTAGATGTGCTTATGGGTATCAGAATATTGATCCAGTCACAAACCTATTCATATGCATACATTCATCACACAGCTTTATTTGTTTCTAAACTTAATATCGCTGTATCAGCATCCATATCTAAGCTTAAATAGATAAACACACACATATAACCATGTATATATATATACATAAATATATATGTAGAATACAGATATAACATATGTTACATGTAGGTATATGTAATATATTATATATACATATATATTATTACATGTACACTGTGTTTCATTTGCTTGTCCCGAGGGATGGATGTGAGAGTGATGATCCGGACCTGACGCAAGTGGATGCGACCCGGTTCTATGATGAGGACATGCTTTGCAGGGCCACCGAATGGAAGGAGGGGGATATTCAGGAGCCATCCTCCGGCATCCACCGATCTTTGGCGATGGACTTTGATGCTGTGTATCAAGGGCAGCATGATGTGTTGAGCCGTGCTGCTGCTCCGATGGCTCCTGTCGAAGAGGCATCGTCATCGATGCATGGCCCATGCATGGAGACCTTGCTTGAGGATGCAGATGAGCCAAAGAGTGCAGAGGAGTCCCAGCAGGAGCCAGAGATTGCGGAGGAGCCCGAGCCGGAGATGGAGAGTGCAGAGGAGCCTGAGCCCAGTTCCGGGGTTTGTGGTCCTATGCCATTGGAGGTTTTGGCGCCAGAGCCATCGGTCCATGGAAGTGAGGCGGAAGATTTGCTGCAGGTGGAGGGTGAGGCATTCGACCACCAGCAGCAGGTCGAGCTGCGGCAGAAGTTGCAGGAGAAGAATCGCGCTCGCGGCGGAGGTCGCGGTCGCTCCCGTGGCCGTGGCAGGGGCAGGGGTCGAAAGGCACCGCCGCCCAGTGAAAATGATGAAGAGAATGAAGAGTTGGTAACTCCGAATGCCAGAGGGGCTGCAGTGCCAGAGGAGACACCCATGGACAAGGCTTGCAGGACGAAGCGCGGTGCTGCCTCGGAGGAGCCTGTGGAGCCCAAGCCCAAGCGGGCGAAGGCAGCAGCGAAGAAAGGGGCGGCCAAGAGAATGATGAAGCGACCAGCTGCAGCCAGACGCATTGCTGAGGAGCAGCCCGTCCATGCTGAGGCAATCGTGCCTGAGGCAAATGGTGCAGAAGCTTCCATGCCTGATGCAGATGGGATGACCGAGCCAAGTGTGCCAGAGCCGTTGGATGATGCAGAGCCTGAGCCAAGAGTGGTTGAGCCGTTGGCTGATGCAGAGCCTGAGCCCAGAGTGCCTGTGCCATTGGCTGAAGAGCCGGAGGAGGCACCCATGGGTGGTGATGGGCATGAGGATGTGCCGGACGAGGTGGTGCCACCTCGCGGTCGTGGTCGTGGCCGTGGTCGCGGTGCCAAAGGCCTTTCCGAGGAGAATCGCAAGATTTGCAGGGCGCTGCTTGTCTGCTTAAAGTGTTGTGCAAGCTGTTGTTCACCAGATGTGCATTTTCTGTTTGCTCGACATATTAATACATATCATATCATATCATATCATATCATATCATATAATATCATATCATATCATATCATATATATATATATATTTATAACCTACATATATCTGTATGTGTATACAAATCATATTCAGAGTACAGAAGGGGGAAGTATATCATTGCAGAACCGCTATAGTCCTTTACAAATATATGACCATGTATAGTACAATATGTATATGTATATATATATATAGTAATATATATATATATATATATATCTATATATATCATGTAGTCCTTGATATGTGGAATATAGAGCACTATACATCACATCATGTTTATGCATCTATATATATATATATGCAAGTGTTATCGCTCTATGGACGATTGACGCCTTTGTCCTAGCAGCTTGAAGCAAACATTGAGGAGTGTATGTATAATAGGCATGTAACACGTGTCTGTGTATGATATGAACACACAGATATACAAGCACACAAGTACATGCATATATACAAATGTGTGCTTACACATGTGCCCAAATGTATACATGCAGACATGATTTTCTGGCCATGCAAGTATATTCTAGACATCGGCATGAGCAGACATACACACGTGCGTGCACCAAGACATAGACACATGTATGCATTGACCCACCCCTGCATGCAGTCATTCATGCAGGCATTCAGGGAGTCATTGATATTCAATGCTGTTCGTGCATTCAGCCGTGCACTCAAATAATCAGCAATTTGATTCATTCATTTGTGTGTTCCTTCGTTCAATCCTCATATATCTTCAAGGTGGTGCATGGGTTTTCTGCTCTGGGCATCTTGTCCTATAGAAATATGTACACATGTCATATACTGCTTATGTTTGTCTAAACAAAGCCTTATCCCTTTGCCCGACACCAATCTTGTGGACTGAGATGTTTCAGCTGCTTCTGCGCAGTGTGTCATGTATGCAGGGGGGGAGCTGAGTCGTCGCTGGCCTATGTGACGTGATCTGAGCATCTATATCTCTACATGTAGATATACAGTGACATAGATATTCATATATATATATATATAACGTATCAATATATATATATATATATATATATATATATATACATTTATATATCTATATTTACATACATCAAAATCAGACAGAAGTCTAGTCCAGCATGTAACCTTCACACCTGCATCTCTTCTGATCTGCACTATATATAATGTGTACATATATACATCTACTATAGAGACATCCAGCAAGACATATACGCATACAGTCGTATGGCACATAAGCATAAAATCAAACATATAAATATGTATATATATATATATATAATATACAAGCATGCATCAAAATGCAAAGCATTAGCAATGCGCTGATCCGGGTGCTGAGAGTCTGTGTGTTACAATGTTGCAGGCTGGTCCAGCATGGGCGGAATTACAAGCTGGAGCTGTATTGGACCAGGAGTGTGATCGGAGTTCGCCAGAAGAATGGCCCACAGGTCTGGAGCATGAGCTTCAAGAATTTGAAGGTCGGCATCCTCGTGGCCAACGAGATTGTGCCCTGGTTCAGATGCAATATGTAGAGAGATGCTGATCTGAAGAATTGGTAATCCCAATCATGTGTTGATTATGAACTGCTCAGGTCTCCCTGTTGGATCGTGATATGAACATCCATGGTGAGGAGATGACGAATACCATCAGGAACTTCCGTTCAGAGCTTGAGGAGCAGTATGGAGAAGTTTGGCCGTGAGCAAAGCTCATGTGAGCCTCGATTTTCACATGGAGGCAAAGGCATGTCTGTTCTATCCAGGCCCACGGGCCTTCAAGTAAAGTGGTCTTTGAAAGCAGATGGTGACTGAACATGCCTGGACCTTCAGATGGAGGAATGGCATTCTGTAGGGATAGTGCGGCTGTGGCGACACCCAACAGGGGAGGCAAGACCAGGCCAGCCTGTAGACCTTGCCCGCTTTTGAACCAGTGGTTTTACGACTGACTGGAGGGTACTGTGGTGTGCATAGCTTGCAAACCTTACATGCCAGATGGGGCCCTCCATATGACTTCGCAGATCTTGATGTGTGCTCGGAAAGAAACAGCTGAGTGTAGTAGCATTTTTCAAAGCTTCAGTTCATGTGCATTCAGCCCATCGAAAAGAGTCAGTGCAGCTCACATGTACAAGTTCATTGGTGTGGTGAGGTCTCAACCAATGCCCGGCAACAAGCGGCTGCTGAAGCTAGCTTCTTTGTCGGATACAGGTGCGCTGAGATTTGCAACCGGTTTGCTCGATTGTCATACTGCTCGGGGACAAGAGACATAATCACGGTGGTACTGCATGCATCTGTGGTGCTGCTACAGGAGCTGATGACCGGAAGAATGCCCTGTCACAAGGCTCGCCATGTCTTTGGATTCGGGGGATGATGGGACAAAATCCGTACCTCCGTGTGCATGTGTGATTATCGACTTGCTGCTGTTCTATAGGTTCCATGCATACACTTGGTATGTGTTTGTATTTCGGACTTTTACCAGTGCTAGCTCAGTATGAAGCAGATGTGCATACGTAGCATTACACATACATCTTGTGTGTGTATATATATAGTATATGTGTATGTATTTGGATCTGCATGTGAATGTCTAGGTATTGCAGATAGTTGTTGCTGGGATGGAACGATGTGTGCAGTCACTATAGGTGTTCTAGGTGTTCTATCGATTTCTGGTAGGTATAAATATATATATATATATATATATATATATATATATATATACATGTATATATATATATATATATATATATGTATGTTGGGTTCTATAGAAATGAGACAGAATGGAGCAGCAATTCTAGATTGTGTAGATGTCGTGAGACGGATCCTGAAGTAGACATGCAATCGACGCCATATATATATATATATATATATATATATATATAGCTCTGCTCGAGTGTGAAGAAACAAGTGCACTTCGGCTGGCCAGGTTCCAAGCGCAAGCCTGGTGATGGAGCTGTAACAAACATTTCGCTTAGGAGTGTGTTGCCCTGTAATCCTGTAGATGAGCTGTTTGCCACATGATTTTGTATAGTATGGAACAAATGTTCCACTGTGGTGTTTAGGCTCAAGGGACGCACCCAAGACAGCCGTGCGCCCGAGGAAAAGTGAAGTACGAATATCTGTGTGAAGTGAAAGGGTCCGGAACGTACCCGTAAAGCGTTTTATGGTAGCGGAGCTGAAGGCCAGGACCTTCAGCTGAAGAAGAGCCCAATACAAGGAGAAAAGAGCCTAGGGCCCCAGTGTCACGGAAAGTGAAAGATAGGAAAGTTGAATGGCCACGCCAAGTCCAGCTGGAGACGCGGATTTGCCTGTGTCCCTGGTCACGGTGGTCAAGGAGGAGATACACCAAGTGATACGCCAATGGCGATGCCTGCACCAGAAGGAGTTGCAGGAGGATCCCTTCAGGCCCTGATAGGGAACCTGTCGGCAGCAGCGCAAGCTTTGGCTAGTGCTGCAGGTACAGGAAGTACCAGGAGTTACGACTCTGCAGCTAAGCTGGTGAAGAGTCCGGATGACTTCGCTCCAAAGAGTTTGGAGGAGGAAGTTTCACAGTGGCCCGACTGGAGTTTCAGTTTCAAAGTGTTTGTGGGCTTCATTGATCCCACCTATGCAGAAGAGTTGAAGAAAGTGGAGCTGGCACCACCAAATCCAGCAGAGTATACAGTTGGTGAAAGAGAAAGAAGTACAAAGCTGTATGCGATTTTGGCCTCGTATCTTAGGAACAGGCCATTGAAGTTATTGAAGTCAGAAGGAAGTCCAGATGGATATTCTGTCTGGAGGAGACTGGTTGAAGAGTTGGAGCCGTCAAGCCGAACAAGAGGGCTGGCAATGGCTCAAGCTCTAGTGAGCTTTCCCCAGATGACGAAGGGGACTTCTATCTTAGACTATCTGCCTACCTACGAAAAACTGGTTGCGGAAGACGAAAAACTGTCCGAAGGAAAACCATACGATGAGAATTTGAAAATCGGAACAGTACTCAAAGGTTTGCCAAATGAGTTGAGGAAACATATCCTGATAGGATTGACCCCTACGACGAAGTACGCAGACATCAGGAAGAAGTTGCTTGAGTATGAGAGGAGTACCCAATCGTGGAATGCGGAGAACATTTTGCAGTCTTTCAACATGGAAAGCGCAACGAAGAGTACACCCTACAATGGGCCACAACCAATGGATGTTGATCGAGTGAAAAGAAAAGGAAAAGACAAAGGGAAAGGATACGACAACAAAGGAAAAGGAGGAAAAGGAAAAGGATACGACAACAAAGGAAAAGGAGGAAAAGGAAAAGGGTACAACAACAAAGGAAAAGGAAAAGGAAAAGGATACGACAACAAAGGAAAAGGAAAAGGTGGTTATAGAAATGCACGAGCAGTGGACGCTGGTGGCTACGGGAAAGGAAAGTTCATAGGAGAGTGCCACATATGCGGAAAGACAGGACGCAAAGCAGCTGATTGCTGGCAGAATCAAGGAAAAGGAAAAGGAGGTAAAGGCAAAGTGAGACAGGTAGAAGAGGAAGGAACCCATCAAGGAGATCACGAGAAGAGTTCCTCTAGCAATGCCCCTCCTGCGAAGAATGAGACTGGTCAAGTGAGGCAGATCACAGCTGAAGCAGCGCGACAAGCAAGAAGAGTAGAGATGACACAAGAGTGGAACGATGAGGATGAAGAGCTCAACTTTGTGAGATTGTGTCAAGAGTTTGAAGGTTTGGTTCAAGGAGAGCTGAGAAGAGTTGAGGAGTTTGATATCTCTTCGAGCGATGAAGTGGAAGAGATCGAGGAGGAACCGACTGATGGTTTGATGGAGTGGTACCAAGGATGGTGGTTCTTGGAAACAGAAGTTGAAAGAAGTGTGAGAATGGTTTCTGAAGGAGATGAAGTGAGAAGAACAGCAAGAGAAGTGGATGCATGTGAGGTAGTGCTCGACAGTGGAGCTGACTGCCATGTGTTGCCTATGGATTGGGCGGAAGAAGTCGGAGAAACTTCGAACTTTGAGTACCATCTGAAAGATGCGCAAGGGAAAGTGATCCCAACGCTGCCTGTGAGGCAGAATGTGACGTTTGTTTTCACGAAGGAGTCTGGAAAGAAGTTGAAGATCACTGACAGTGCTGTTTGCGGCAATGTCACCCAACCTTTGTTTGCGGTAGGAAAGATGTGGAAGCTAGGTTGGGGTACGGTGAATGAAGATGGAAGATTGTGGCTGAAGAAAGGAAGTGTTCGGATACCGATATACTTCAAAAGGAATTCCTCAATGGCGAGGATGTGTATACGGAGACTTGAAGGAGAAGAGATGACGGTGCAGCCTGTGAGGCTGGAGCGAGAACTGAAGAATGAGTTGAAGAGTAAAGAAGATGAAGATGGTTGGTTTGTGCTAAATGACGGCACGCCTGCAAGGTTTGATTGGTTTATGGGGAAGACGTTTGACCCAACGGGTCAGTTCCCTAACAGGCTCTATGAGGGAGCAGGAGATGAAGGCGATTATTTTCCTTATAGGACAACCTTGCTAGGAAAGATGAAAAGAAGTGGAGAAAGAGTGTTGAACGAAGTGGATTGGAAGAGTATGGATTTCTTTGAGTGTACGGAGATCTGGAAGGATCGCGAAAGAGTGCAACTTGGGGCGAGTCCTCAAGCAAGGTTTGAGGTGATGGTCACCTTGTTGGAAAAGGGATTGAAGGAACCGAGTGACTATGGGTTGCTCACGAACTTGGAAGAGCTTGAAAGAGAACTGGCACAAGAAGGAGTGCCAATGGAGGTCACAGGTACCTCCTCAGGTTCGAAAGACAAAAAGGAAAGTGAAAAAGAGGAACCGAAGAGAGGAGTTCCGGTGATCGGTGAAGATGAAGAAGAAGTGATGGTGATTGGACCGATAAAGTTGACGCGCCAGAGTGAGTTGAAGGAGATGAAAGCGGCGTGCAAGTATCTGCATATCTCGAAGAATGGATCGAAAGAGATTTTGTGGAAAAGATTGAAGAAAGAGGTTGCGCTGAGCAAAGTGAAAGCGCAAGCCCAAATCTCTGAAGATATCAGAAAAGAGTTTGAGAGAGAGCCGATTCCAGAGGCTCTGCCTGCTTTGCCGAGCCCGGAAGAGATTGAAGCACATGAGTTGACGCATTTGCCGAGAGCGCCCTGGTGTGAAGCATGCCAGGCAGCAAAGAGCAGAGAAGACAACTTTGAAGAGACGAAAGAGAAAGCGCAACGGCCCGTGTTTAGCTTGGACTTTATGTTCACAGGAACACAAGGAGATGAAAAGGAGAGAGATCCGCTTGCTATTCAGCTTGCGGGTGTTGACAATGACACGAAGTTCCTGATAGCTATTGCGGTACCAACGAAAGGAGGAGATGCGGTGATAAACCACGCGGTAAGTGAAGTGGTAAGAGTGTTAGCCCTTTTGGGTTACGCTGAAGTAGTTCTTAGAACCGACACCGGGCCAGTGATGATTGCGATAAGAAGAGGAGTGCAAGTGGCAAGAACGAAACAAGGTTTGAAGACGGAGTTGCAAGATGCCACACCTGATGAGCATCAAGGGTTGCCTGTGGAAAGGTATATCCAAACTGTGAGGAACCTTGCAAAGACGTTGTTGGCGACGGTTGAGCAACGAAGTGGAACGGCCATCGGATCTGATGTCCCCGCTTTATAGCTGGGCATACAGACACGCAGCATGGCTGCACAACAGGTTTCATGTTGGAAGAGATGGCAGAACTGCGTTTGAAGCAACAGTG